TGTGGTTCCGTGCGGCTGAGTTTTCACCGGCCGAAGGTGCGGTTAGGGCCTGCCTGGGCCCGACCGCACGGCCAGTGCACCGCAGCGTGGGCTTCCAAGGCCCACAGTAGCCTCCACTGAAGCCGCATGATACAGTCCCTAACTGTGTGTGCGAGAGAAAGGCGGAGGGCTGTGGAGTCCAAGTGGCCCCCAAACTGCTCCGAGTGGTAGGCGGGCAGGGGCTGACCGGGAAGAACCCCAGAGGCTCCCGGGATGCCGCACCCGCCCTCGGTCTGGGTGGTGACTATCTAGCTGCAATTGTATTGAAATTGATCAAGCTGCGCATATAAGACCGGCACTTTACTGTGCGAAAATTATTTTATCTCCTTTTGAAAAGTAATGACAACGAACGCATCTCAGAAAAATGGCCGGGAGAGGGTGATGAAGGGTTTGGGCAGATAAGTGGAAGGAGGAAGGGAATTTCCCTTAAATGTTACTTTAAATTGTCTTCAGTCTGCCTTCTGTTCATCTTACTGAGAGGGTCCCTGAGGTTAGCTGAGATACTGCTTCGTGTTCTCGTCACTGGCTCTTCCATAGGTACCAATGACAACAGGTGTTTAGGAAGTGAGCACCCTTAAAAAAGCCTTTCAGAGACATGGAAACAACCTAAATGCCCACAGTAGATGACTGGATTAAAAAGATGTGGTCCATATACACAATGGAATATTTCTCGGCAACCAAGAAAAAAAAAAAAACCTGCCCTTTGCAACAACATGGGTGGAGCTGGAAAAGGTCATGCTTAGTGAAATCAGCCAGAAAGAAAAGGGAAAATACCGGATGGTTTCACTCATAATAGGAGTATAAAGGGCCAGGGGAGAAAATAATAATAATAATGAACAACTATATACAGAGACATTTTACCGGGCTGGAGTGGGGAATGGGATCAAAAACAGGGGGCGGGGGAGGGAAATGCACTGGACTATGGTGATGGCACACGGGTGATGTGATGATGGGAAGCCCAAGGGGATTGCAACTGAGATGGAAAAAGGCACAAAATGATGTAAAAATAAAATATTGTTATTAAAAAAAATTAAGTCCATGGGGACAAAAAAAAAAAAAAAGAGCCTTTCAGGGCCCCTCCCTGGTGGTACAACATTGAAAGCTCAGCACTATGGCAGCTACTGCAGCACCAGTTCTATATCCCAGCGGGGAGTGACCCACACACCCCGGCAGACCTCTCCTCCTCCCTGCTGCTCCCCTCAGCAGTGTGCTTCTTCAGTCTGTCCACTCTGCTCCCCACTCCGTCTCTGGTGAATCCTCTTATCCCCCCCATCTCTGTCCTGTACCCCCGTTCTTTTGTGAATAAATAAATCTTTAAAAATTTTTCAAATACTGAAAACTTTCCAGTTGAAACTCCACTTCACTCAGTTGTTTGCTATCAGGGGTTCCACTCCTGTACTAATCCCCCAGTGACTAGAGCCAATCAGCCTTTTTTTTTTTTTTAAGATTTATTTATTCATACAGAGCTGGGGCACAGGCCAGAGATGCAGAGGGTGAGAGGATTCACCA